CCGTATCCCGTCTGATTCATTTGATAGGATCGTGTTTTATTTTTGTTGCGATACGATCATTTTGTACATCACGACGAAAGTTTTAGTTTAACTCGTCTTATAAATAATAGATTAAAAAATTAAATGTCACTTCATCTACACACGTTAAAATTATATTTCTTCTTTTTTTAGGAACTAAAATTTTCTGTCCATGTTGCTAAGCTTAGTTGTAAAGTTAATCTGGAAGAACACATAGGCTACTTTTGTTTTCTTTTCTACGCAGACGCAGTCGCGGGCGAAAGCTAGTATTTCGAATTATGAAAAAATATTAATAATCACAAGATATACGCAAGGCGGAGGCGAGCGGCCGTGGCGGGAGCTACTGTCAAGGTTTCTGTTTCCATTCAAACTTCAACCGCGACCTACTTCGTAATAAACTTTTACCAATCAACTATTCTATTTACAAAACATTCATACTTAAAATACGCAGCTTTTATTAAATCGTGGTAAGTAAAGAAAATTACCAACCGTGTAATTTTTATTTATAGTCTAACTTCGAAGTCAACAGTAAGTCAATAAACTTTCTCTTTTCATTAACATTTCTTTACCAAAGTAATTCAAATGCGTTTACATTTTTTTATTATATCTATTGTAAGGACTTGTCAAATACAAATGAATGTATCAATTATTGCCTTATTATCATTCACTATACGTCCCCAAAAGGGCTCGGAGCCTAAGTAGCTCTAAGTAGGCACTAGGCCATATACAGTTACCCTAGGTAACTGCGACTTGGTTGTCATATTTTAATTTCTTTACATGTAATGTGCGGCTTCCATAACGATGTCTTTCTTTGCTGTAAGAACGACATGAAAATGTTCATTGTAGGACGGAGCCAGCGACAGTCTTATTATCCACATAGTAATTACGCGGTCCCCCTTAGTGTTTGGTTTGCATATTAAACACTAAGGAGCATTTTACTGTTGGTGTAAAATAATGTCATCATCATCATCATTATCCTACTCCCGTAGTGTCGGCACAACAGGTTTTCGTCCTCCTAATAACTCTATCATCCGTCATCTCAGTCATCACTCCCTAATCATGTCACCTTTCACGCAACCCATCCATCTCATTCTCTCACACTCATAACTAATGTTCTCAAAATTCTCTGGTGTTAAATAATATAAGGTCGTAAAAAGTGTGTTATTTAGATGAGAAGTGGTACGTTATTTTTATCACGTTATCACCATGAGTAATGTCAAGTGATGACGCAAGCGTTGCCAAATGTAAATGATCAATATTAGTTTTGTGTCGTCGACGTGGACACGTGGAGAGGAATAGCTCCCAGGGCGAACGACCCGAACACCTCCAGAATGGAATTTACCTAACATTTACCCTGTGTGGGTATTTGTAACTTTTGTCAACGTTTAAGATTATTTGGAGATCATCTTCCTCTTTATCCTGTAAGGTCGGCGCAACAGGTTTATTTTATATCTTAAAATTTCCTTTCTTATGAATCGCAATACCCGAAGGGACGATTTTACTTTACACTAAAAATACTTCAACATTCTTGCGTGTAATTCTTTATTTTTAACTAGGTTTTGCCCGCGACTCCGTCTTCGTGGTATTAAAATAAAAAAAAAAAGTAAGTAGCCTATATTTTATTCCAGACTGTCCTCTACGTGTATGCCAAATTTCGTCCAGATCCGTTCAGCCGTTTGTAACGCTAACAAACATCCACCCATCTATCTTAACATTCGCATTTATAACATTACTAAAATTTTAAGATTTGTAGACCAATTAAATGCACTTCTCTGAACAGTTGATAAAAGCCAGACGTATCCGGGTGTTGAATTAGTAAGTCTAAAGGATTGTTTACTAGCGGGAGATAAAAGGGGGCGTCGACCCACATGTTTAGCCATATATCGCAGTCCTGCATCGCCACACATGTACACTCTAATTGCAATACACATAAGGTTGTTATTCGTGTGTCGTTCAACTCTTTGTTCAAGGTTATTAGAGTGGTGCGGAATTTTTACGATAAAATTAATTAGTATTTTCGATGTGCTCGATGACGTCATGCTGTAATGATGTAAATAAACCATATTCAAGTATTTTAACTTTTAATTTTACTATCATCATATTAATCTTACTAATATTATAAATCCGAACGTTTAGATAAATTGATGGATGTTTGTTAGAGTTTGTAGCCTAATCTACTGAACGGATTTCGAAGAAATATGGTTTAGATGTAAGGGTAGTCTGGAAGAACACATAGGCTGCTCACTTTAGTTTCTTTTAATTCCGCGTGAACGGAGTCGCGCGCGAAAGCCTGAAATAAATATTACCACGTATGTATTTCAAACACTGCTTCGGATATCAAAGAATTTTGTCACAGATGTGAATATAATCTGGAAGTGTACTTATAATTTACAATTTTACCATTTTTAGTATCCTATTAAATTAATGCAAATTCTTAACTTATATAAATTTATTAAATCGCGGTTCTTGCATTTAAAAGGTTCTTTATTTATTTTAAGTTGTTACTAGCTTTCGCCTGCGATTACGTCCGAAAATAAAAAAAAGTAAGTAGCCTACATAGGATACTTACTTTTGATAATTTTACATTACTACATCTATACCAAAATTCATCGAGATCCGTTCAGCAATTTAGACTACAAGCTCTAACATCCATCCTAACTAAACTCGCATCGCTATTATTACTGTATACCACCACGCAGGTAATGGAATAGTCGCAGCCGAGTATACCTCTAGATGACGTCATAATCCGCAACAAGCAAGCATTGTTTCCGTTCCTCTCCACACTTACGTCCTTCCTAGGATGCATAAATTCTCTATATTACATATCCTCCTTACGTCGAATTTATATAATAGGTTAGTCCAGTTGCCAGCGTCAATGGCACGTTGCCAGTGGTCGCGGGGACTCAGTCCCGTGTTCAATACGGACTGTGTTAGCATTAACCTGGTTGTCACATTGGGTTACTCACCGCTAGTTAACTTTTAACTGGAACGTGACATTGTTTTGTGACAATTTCGCAAAGTTAAGATAATTAATCGCTAAGGGAGACTATATACTATGGCATAAATTAAATTAAGTCTCTGACTTGTCTAGCAAGTACAATTTCAAACACAAATGTATCGATTTATTTTGGAAGGGCAATAAAATCATGATTTTATAGAAAATGAAATTATGTAATTATCTTAATAAATTGTTATAATTGTTAGAAAATTATATATTAAATGAAAGAAATTGGGTAAAATAATCTATACTTTAATAATAAAGCGTAAACACATACTTTGTTGCCTAAGAAGTCAGCAATTACAGCATATTTTTGAATAATTCTTTGTTTAATAAAAAGCCCTATATTTACGTCACGCTTTAGGCTATATATTTTCACACCATTATACTTAGGGGGTAAATATTTTGGATAAAAACCCTAATGTGGGAAAGAGACCATAAGTTGTTGCCAACATCAAGGAAACAAGATTGCCGAAGTCTGTCATGTTATGTCATTTTGACATTTGCTATTGACAATTTATCAAATGTAAACAGTAACTAAATTTTTTTATAATTTCATGCGGATGAAGCCGCACGGGAACAGCTAGTTTATTATACAGAACAATATGTAAAACTTGAAAGTATTCTTAGAAACGTTCAGAAAAAAAATACAACCGACTGAAGATTTATACCAACATTTTTATTTATATATCACGTTTCGATTTTTCTTTGACAATTCGACCTTATTTCATTGTTAACCAACAAAACTCGTAAATATACGTATTAAATCAGGCTTCAAATAGATTGTCCGACAAAGTATACAGAGGTTAACAAAGCTAGACTTGCAGCATTAAATACTAAATAACAACAAGTATTATTTCTAATGAGGTTAGCCACATTGTTAACCGAAGCCGGTTTATAGCCGTTCGATATTAATTAGTACACGAAACATCTGTACAAACAAACACACGGTCGTTGCATCCGCTGATTCACATTCACGCTCTGTCAATGCGTAGTCGACAGACATGCGGAGCCAATTGTTTATAATGATCGGATAATACGAAAACTGAGAAAATTAATATAAATTTCGATAGACCGGTATTATTTCAAGGTTTTTATACATTTGTATAATAAAAGAAGTAGATTTCTTTCGTTATTCACTATCGGAATGTAGCCTTTCTCAAGGAATGGACTGAACGATACAACCGGTGTCTTAGAGCTGCTAGGCGGGCTTCTAGAGAGTTCTACACTAAAGTGCTTCGCGACTAACCGGTTCTCGATGTTCCGACCACCGAACACGGATTTAATAGACCGGTTAGCGTTCGAAAATAAAGTTTAAACAAATATTATCGAAATGTTTGATGATTCATTTAATGTTTGGTCGCCAGTTTAAATATGACGTCAGCAATAACTCTCATATTTACCTTTAATATGTTTTGCTAATTTTAGTACAAATGACGTACAACTAAAGCGACTGTTTTCCGTAAGGCATTCAAAACATTAAAATATTATGCAGTTCGTTCCCAACATTAAGAAAAAATCTTTCTATTCATTGCCTTTAGCAAACCTAAATTTTAACTTAGAGATATCAAAATTTCTAAACTCGCCAAACAATATACTGATTTTAGTAAATCACGGCCTTTACATTTCATCAATTGTGAACCTACAATTTTATGCGTTAATACGCCTGTCGGATCCTAGATTTTTTTTATATAATATGGAGGTGGCAAACAAGCAAGCGGCCACCTGAATCAGCCAAAATGGGGAAGCGACCGCCTTAGACATTTGCAATAGCGGAGACGTATACAAAGAGGATACTCTCCCTATGAGTTTCCTCCACCGTCAAATCCATGTTCCATTTCCATCTTATTCTTACGAGAATAAGGGTGGGATGAAGAGAATAAAGTTGGGATCACTTTAGGATTCACTTTTAACTCACATAGTGTACCAAAAACTGATACCATATTCCTAATCTAGGTAAAGTTGAGGGTTTGTACCCACTGACCTGTGCATCGGCTGTGACCGTTGTGTGTACTGCGCCATATGGTGCCGAGCTCCGGCATGGCTAGGCGCGCATGCCGCGTGCGCTCGCCGCTAGCTACGCGCCATGGGCCCACACACTCACTCACCAACACACACACACGCCCACGCCCACGGCACCCACACTGCACCCGCACCGATGGCCTGCACACAAAACAACACTTTGATATAGTAAAACTTTAGATTGTCTAGTTAGAGATGTTTTGTAGCCAAATACTTAAACGAATCTAAAACTTAGACTAAATTTTCTTGGAATTTGGACTTTAATCATTACTTTAGGATTGTGTCAAGTATCTAAATTTTCCGTATTCAGCCGTTAGAAACTATTCAAGCTAAATGGGTAAGGTTCAACATTAAATGAGGACTGTATGAATATTAGACGCAATTTAAGTGGGCACTAAATAAATCTAGAATAAACTAGAAGCCTTTGAACTTATTAACATAAGCTTCAATTATTACAAGTTTTTTTTACGCGACAAATCGCAGACAAAAACTAGTTATTGTTTTAAATTGCTTAGAAACTACCGGTCATTTTGTCTGTATAAATTTAAAGGAAACTTAGGTTTGTTTGTATTGAAAAAAATGTTATATAATTACTGTAGTACAAAGTAAATATAAGTAATTAGAAACAGTTTAGAGGAAGTGGGTTAAGTTAGCACGTAAGCCAACTTTAACTTAACGACTTCTTGAAGTGCTATATAATTACGTAGTGTGCATTTTTTCTAATAATGGAGAGTAGTATACCGAATAAATTTTATTTAAATAATCAGTACATAAACATCATGAAATAAATGAAAAAAAAAACATTTGCGAAATGCGTTTTAAATATCCATTCAAATCGACTATGGGCGAAATCTTGAAACGACTTTTAATCACTACGCTATGTTAAGCGCCTTTTGTAATTTTACAGTCAAAATTTTAATGTAAATTAGAATGTCGTTTCAATATTTGACTCTGATAGTAACTTGAAAATACAAAAACTAGTTTTTGCCCGCGACTCCGTCCGCGGGGAATAAAAAAAAAAGTGTATGTGTTCTGTGTGTGTGCCTATGTGTTCTTACAGACTATTCTCTACATCTATCCCAAATGTCATCTAGATATGTTTAGCCATTTAGGCTACAAACTCTAACAAACATCCATCCATCCATCCATCTAAACTTTCATATTTATAATATTATATTAGTAACATTTCAGCTTAGCTATTGTTACCTAAATGACGTCAGTTAAATGTCTTATAGGTCGTGAGTACGTTTCACAGTATTCTGTTACTACAAACAATGGTATTGCGATTAAATAAAAACATCTCACCATTGTTGTTATGGTACAGATAGAGACTACTTTTATCGTACTTGTAATTTTATCACCCTTGTTCATAGCTCTTATAATCATAATTATAACTATCTATTTCTTGTTTATGGCTCTCCCACAGCGGATAGGGCAAACATAATTATAAAAAAAGCTTGGCAAAGAACATGATGAATCGTCGAATTTAATACAAATGAGATATTGTACACATTTCACTGTAAAATGTCATTTATTGATGTTATTTTTAATTTTTTAAAGTGTTTACATTAATAACAAAAACATTTCTGTGTTAATAAGTCTGTGATAACAGTCTTATAAAGGTAAAAACAGGTAGGTTTGTTTTAATTTCTTATTTCCACTTAATTACAGTAATTATAGAATATTCCTTACATAAAAATAATTTACAAATAAATTGACTTTAACAGATTTTTGGTCTAATAAAATTACGTCTAGATTATCTGTATCTATCTATACTATTATAATAAAGCGTAAACACACACTTCTTTGTTGCCTAAGATGTCAGCAATTACAGCATATTTTTGAATAATTCTCTTTTTAATAAAAATCCTTACATTTACGTCACGCTTTAGACTATATGTTTTCACTCCATTAAACTTAGGGGGGTAAATATTTTAGATAAAAACCCTAATGTGGGAAAGAGACCATAAGTTGCTGCCAACATCAAGAAAGCAAGGTGTTGCCATCGTCATGTCATTTTGACATTTGCAATTGATAATGACACTTGTAAACAATAAAATAAATTTTTCATAATTTTACGCGGATGAAATCGCACGGGAACAGCTAGTCGTATAATATTTGAGAAGTGCAAGTTTTAGACAGAACCCGAACATATCCGTCTTAATTACTCTTATTTACAAAGAATGTCTAACTTGTAAGATTAAAAAAAAATAACTAACAATTCCTACTTATGGTCGTTATATAGCGAAAACACACATGTATACTAAGTATAATTAAGTTTGCGTCTAAGCTAAGGGAATTAGCCGACGTCCTCGCTTACGGCGTGGGAAGTTGAATTCTAATTCTCTTTAACAATATAACCGGAACTATTTAATCTAATAATTTTCATATTACAAAGTATCGTTATTAAGATTTTGCACGTGCTGGACCAATCGTACCAATCGTACCAATGTTGAACATTTATGGTACGGATTTTAATATTGGTACAAAAACGTAATCACTTCCACAGTCGCATTGTGTCGTTAGGTTACCTTTAACCCGTTTTGTAAATTCAATATGAGTATAGTTCTTAGTTTCTATTTACGACAGTGCTTGAACAAAATCTTGAGGTAAGTTATGTTAAATCTCTAGATTTAAGCTTAAATTTTTAACGTGTTAGATCACACATACATCTTTGTGAACATATTTTTAAACACACTTCTTTTATTCTTTAATTCTAAATCATTAAAACGTATTTTCACATTAAAACACAATTCTAATAATTTGCACATACTTTTTTTTAAATAAAAGGAATATTTACCACTTTATATGTTCATATTTATTCGTTAACTTAAAAAAAACTAGGGACACTAAATTACAATATACTATAAGATAGTATTAAATAACAAAAAAAAAGTAATTTTACGAGAAAATTTATCACCAATAACAATTTCTGCTATATTATAACCCGTGGTGCTACTAAAACCAAAAACGTTACAACACTATTTAGAAGGTTCAGCACTACTTGTGCCGTCATTTTGCTTTTCATAGTGATTTTGCAAAAAAATGTGTCACATTACCAAAAAATATTTATAATTATTTCGGTAGAAAGTAATTGATTACAAATTGACGAATGTGGTAAGAACGTATCAGGTATTTTTATCTCGGAAGACAAAGCAATAAAAAAAATCAAGGTGATAAAAGAGCGATTATCGTATAGGACAAAGCAGTACAAGAATAAAAAAATACTTTATAACATATATTTCATACTAACTTGCTACTTTTAAATTTCATAAAACTACATATCAAAAAATTAATCTTGTGTCAAATATATTTTTAACATCAAAATGCGACAAGTCCATAAAAAAAATTTCTGATTTGTATTTTTAAAATAAAAAGAGAGTGTATGTTCGTTATGGTTAATTTTATATTGATCGTGTTATGAAAGAAATTGAGCGAAGTTTATTAAATTATGCGGATAAATGAATCATTAGTGATTAATGTTACGTTTTGCTATAAAACAATAAACGTACGCCCATTTAACTAAATTAACGTTTTTTTATTGGAATGTTGCCAGAATGTATAAAGCATTAATATAGAAAATAATATTTTTTTACCGAAAGTAATCTACTAATTTGTGAATCTATGTTATGTACTAAGAAATATCGTCTAAAAATTTAGCCCTATGGTTATTTATAATTAAGATTGTTATGAATAATACAAGTAAAAGATGCTTTAGAAGTGTATTTTTGATATCCTGTGTTTGATATTAACAGCGTAGTATAATGAAATGGTTATTTTTTTGCTTGGTATTTTTGCATTTTTAAAGACTTTACTAATAAAATAAAGTTTAGTTTGACAGCCTAAAGCGTTTTTGTTTATTTTAATTCTAATGACATTTTAATATTTTTGTGTTACAAAATTATATGGCGAATGATTTGAAATTTTAAAAGGATATCGTAAGGTAAATTTATTGGTTTGCAAGCGAGTCTTATAATTTTATGTAGGTTCGCTTTACTTTGCAAACTTCTAGAGATTTTTGCCAAGTACTCGAAGATTGTCGATGTTATTTTAGCTACATTTATGAAACGGAATATAACTGAAAATTCTTTGTGCCACGACCTGATAATGTTATCGCCTTACATAATTTGCTTGGCACCACGTGCATCACCACCACACTTGTATCATAAAAACTGCGTATAACTGAAGAATGTGAGGTGGTGAAACATTCACACAGTTAATTTACGCAGTTACAGCACTAGAAATTTCTCGTTCTGATGACGAACTGAGAAAGTAGCAGGAAGTGGGACACTTGTTTTCACTTAGCAAATTCACATAATTCGACACTTGGAGTGTTTTCATATCGTAATATAGGCTATATTACTTACCTTTTAGACCAAAACAGCTCAACTATTCCACTGTAGGTCTCGTCACGGATCTCACAAGCGCGGGCACGAACTTGCACTCAAATATCACAGATTTCTTTAAACAAACTGAGTAACACCACTTTCTACAGTATTCGTTAGCAACACGAGACTTTAGTCGTTACCTGACACGTTTAGAGTTTTCGAAAAGTCCATTGAACTGTTTCGGTTGAAATTTACGTCCAGCGAAATTATAGGTACGAAGTGGCAACGCTGTATAGACGTCGTATACATTTCGCAGCGCTGCCGCTAGGCGGCGTGGCGGTCGGAGGGGGGCGGAGCCGGCGGGACGCGGCGGGTGGGTGCGAGCGAGAGCCGGCGACGGGGAGCGTGGCCACGTCATCGTTACGCGAGAGAATATTTTATCACGGTGTTCTTATGGGACCCCGTGTCGAAACTGCGATTGTTTAGATGGCGAAGACATTAGCAGATGATGGCGAATGCGGCGACCGGTGACCTTTCGGCGGTACGCGTCACCGCGGGTGGCGATAACGCGAGGTCGTCGGTCGCGCGCGCGGCGTTGCCAGCCCGCCGCGGCATTCAGAGCCCACGTTTCCACGGATTACGAAAGTGTCAGCGAAATCCCCTCGGCCCTTTGATACCGGTACCTACCTGCCTAACGAACCTAGCCTAGACACGCAGCCACTGCGATGTGCCCTATCTAGCCTGCATGTAGGTATACTTGCGTATTTTGTTGCGCTAGTTTATACTGTCGTGTTCGTTGTAAGTAAAAGTGTTTGTTTTGTCACATACCTAGAGCCACGCGCTTGGAAGTTTTATATTTTGTATGAGAATAGGGAATCGCTACAAAACTGTAAAATGCTTATCGCTGCCATTTCCTAATCTTTGCGATATAAATTGTTAATATCTTTGTATGTAATTATTATCGCTATATTTGTATTTCAATTTTTCAATGATACGTTGATAAAAGTAGACTTTTGGTCCATGTTTTTTATTATTACTTTCGAGAACTATGTCTACTGCAGGTCATTATGTCTAGAATTGTTATTTATTTAAATGAAGTCGCAAATATGATCGGCTCGATTGATTGTTCTCGTTAGTTATGTGGGTAGATAAATATTTATATTAAACAACCATTTGTTAAGCTCCGGCGGATAATTATAATCATTGTTCTTAAATTATTTTATCATGCTCCACATTCCATAACCTATACAACATTCGTTACCGTCTAACAGTGACTAACAGCCCTGTTGACATTTTTTTTTTTATTAAAGAGGTCAAATTGAATCTCTGTGGTCTACAGATTATAAAAGTACGTTTCCAAAGATAAGAGTTGAATTCTGAGAATAATGCTTCTGCATTTCGTAGTAACCTATTCTTAACTGAACACAAAGTTTTTGATCGATACGCGTTTCGAATCGTTACTCTACTTCCATCGATATGAGTACCTATTCTTCGTTTTGATTGAAAGTCGATATTAAGAATAAAGGCGGAACAAATAATTATGGAATTAACTAAGTAGTTTTAATGTAAATTGTGGTTTAATATTTTGATTGGAATCCGGTATACAAAGACTAATACTGTCCGAGCGCGGCCTTGAATTGCGTTTACGAAACATTGTTTTCTAGAATATTCTACCATTCGATGAAAAATTTATCTTTTCCTCGAAGACTCGCTGTAAGGGGGCACTGCTTACAGACCTTAGCGTGACAAGTTTAGCGTAGCTTTTCTATCAAACCACCAAATACCTCTAGACAAAGATTTTATCAACAGAAAAGTAATCCAGTAAGCGGTAAATGAGCCCCACCTGACACATACATTACACATTAAATAAAATTACACGGTACAGTAAATGTGGGGGTAAAGGCCATTCGTTATGCACTGCAACCCCTAGGGAGCAATTTTAGTTTAACATACGACGCTCCCGAGAGTACCTGTGTAGTTCAACACGTAAACACTTACCTGTATGGGAGTTCTCTAAAATAAGATAATCGAAATAATTTTAATTACAATTATAAACAGAATATAGTCGTAATGAGCTTGCTGCCTATCTTGGACTTATTAAGTGGTCTTTGAGAACAGCACTAGTTATTTTGCTTTTCTGCTTATAAAGATAAATTCTTTATAATCTATACTTATATTATAAAGAGGAAAGATTTGAATTTTTGTATGTATTGAAAAACTCAAAAACTGGGCCGATTTTAAAAATTCTTTCACTGAAAGGTAATTTTTATTATCTGTTAATTTCACACGGGCGAAGTCGCAAGCAACAGCTATTTAAATAAAATAAGATGACTGCTATTTTTTGGAGATAAGACTTTCTTGAACTTTGGGATGAGACAAAAATAAGTATTGGAAGTTAAGCATATGTTATATGAAAAAAGTTAAATTCAAGTATGTTTAATCATATTAATATTGAAAATGCGAAAGTTTAGATGGATGGATGTTTGTTAGAATTTGTAGCCTAAACGGTTGAACGGATCTCCATGAAATTTGGCAGACGTAGAGGATAGTCTGGAAGAACACATAGGCTACTCACTTTTCTTTTTTTTTAATTCCACGCATCAGTCGAGGGCGAAAACTAGTATTTCATAATAAATTAATCGTTGAATTACACACTCAAATTTACCAACAGCATCCGAAGTTCATTTCATCTTGAAGTAAATAAAAACGCACTAATTAAAACTAGTCAAGTCTTAATTGAAGCAAAAGTAACCGCACTCTAATAATTAACTGATATGAACCGTGCAATTAGTGGAGAAAAAACTTCGTCTCTGTACAGCTCTATTATGACAAACATAGAATTATAATTACTGCTAACTAGTTGTTGCTCGCGACTCCGTCCACGTGATATTAAATAATAGTAAATATACAGACTATGTTACAGATAAATTACCTTTCTATAGGTGAAAGAAATTATAAAATCAGCCCAGTAGTTTTTGAGTAATTTCAATACATACAAAAATACAAATCTTTCGTCTTTATATTAGAGAGAGCCATAGACAAGAAACTGAAATGAACTTTATAATATTAGTATAGATAATAACTGGTTTTAGTTTTCTGATATATTGCAAGATATCCTCGATCAACCTTATTAGATCTAAATGCAATAGAGACGTTACGGTCGTACCATATTTTAAGAGCTCTTATGGAAAAATTATTTTGTTTTTATTTAAAGTCGACTTGGCTAAACTATCTTACTTTTTACTAATATTATAAATGCGAAAGTTTAGATGGATGCATGGATGTTTGTTAGCGTTTGTAGCCTAAACGACTAAACGGATCTCCATGAAATTTGGCACAGGTTTAGAGCATAGTCTGAAAGAACACATAGGCTACTTTTTATCCCGGGAATAGTTACGGTTCCCGTGGGATTCATTAATTTAGTTTTTTAATGTTTACTCGATCATTCTGCAACGGTTCAACATATCTTATTGAAATTTGGCACAGATGTAAAACAAAGTTTGGACTACACATGGGATAATCTTCATCCCCGAGAAATGTCTGGTTCTGGAGGGATACGTAGCTTTTTGTAATTTTTATAGTTTGTATGTTTTCTAATACCACGCGTACGAAGTCGCGGGCAACAGCTCGTATATTATAAATGGGAATGTGTAGATAGATGTTTGTTAGATTATGTAGCCTAAATAGCTGAACAGATCGAGATTATATGTCGCGTAGATTTAGAAGCTAGTCTAGAAGAACACATAGGCTACTTACTTTTGTATTTTTTAATTTTACGGAACGTATGCGAAGGTTAGTATGATATTGTCTATGTCACTCGCTTTATTAGAATTTAATTTTTATACATATTTGTAAATCCGTATCGTCGTGGATGGGATTAACGATGGCATACGTATCTGAGGACACCGGTGCCTGTCACTCCGGGCACGAATTGATCGGATCCGCTGCGGGGCCCGGCCCTCGCCAGGGTAGAGGTCACTCACCCTACAGAACCTGTTCCCATAAAACGGGCTAAAACAATGCCAAAACGGACCTTCATTCGAATGCTTCGTATTACGCGTTTAATTACTAAATTCCATTTCTGCTATTTTTATTGAAATATCTTTATATGTACATTTTTCGTAAAAAAATGCCTTATTGTGATACGAAGGAGAGTAAGATTTATATAATTTTTTTTTTCTTTAAAAACAAATTAAACTATACTAATGTTAGTTATGATGTAACACATAGAAATGGCCAATGGAAGGCTGGGGAGGAGCAGAGAATACAAAAATGTAAAATAGACACTACGATATAAGACCATATTAAGCACATAACGTCTCTCTCGTTTTAGCCTTTAGAACAACCTATATCCTCGGCTGACTTCCGTGATAACATTATAATATAATATAGTTTACTTGGGTATTGAGTTATAGTTAACAAATCCAAATTCACAATTCAAACAAAGGAAAGCACTCGTAGTATTAATAGATTCTATTTTGATATGGCATCGTCTTTCATAGATTTAATTACTTTATACAGATCGTAAAATATTAAAATAATAATTTCTATATGAATCTTACTAATATTATAAATGTGAAAGTTTAGATATGTGGATGGATGGATGTTTGTTAGAGTTTGTAGCCTAAACGGCTGAATGGATTTCGATGAAATTCGGCATAGATGTAGAGGATAGTCTGATAGAACACTTTGTTTTTTTCAGTTCCACGCGGAGACGCGGGCGAAAGCTAGTACGATAATAGTTGTCAAAATCAGTTAAACCATGCGAAGAAATATACAAAACATAGTTCGCGTGGGGAGATCATAGCCTAGTTTCCTAAGAAGTGACGTCACAGCTAGGACCTAATTTTAGTGTCCGTACGTTCCGCGGTGACAGGAATTAATTGCGATACTTAATCTTCTGTTTGATGTACCGACTATTCGTAGACTATGTAATTACAGACAACCCAATTGTTAATATAGTCAAGTGTAGGTTGCGCTGGATTAACTGCCGGAAAAAATTGTTATTAATATAACCTGATGGTATATGGAATAAATTGAAATAAATTAATTTAATGAACTATTAAAAATACAGAAATAAGTAAACTTGTGGCGACACATTCGCACCGATTTTTGTACTAGCGCTATCTGCGGTTACATTTTGAATCTTAGTGTAAGGTTGGTAGAACTGTTAAATTGGCAACATTATTACTCTCTGTTGAATATTATTCTAATGTATATTGTACCTTTCTATAATATTATATGTGCTCTACAAGAAATCAAGCATGCTTTATTTACTCGCAAACGTTGGTGACATCCGTACTGTTGTCCCACAAACTGTTCTGTGAAGACGTTAAATAACTTTTTAAACCAATTTATACACAAAAAATAGCCGACAGATATCTGAAATTATTTTATTAAACACTATTGTATCCTTTAAATATATTAGATAGCTAGAGAGATAGATAATTGAGAAAAATTAAAATAGCGAAAACCCAGGGAATCTAGCTACAAAATTATTATAAAATAAATACTTGGTTTTATAATATAATCCTTCAATCCATTGTTGAATCTAAAATTAAAACGTGCTCCAAGTATACTTGGCAAGGGATTTTCTAACCTAATCCCGAACACGATTTAAATTTCTAGGAAAATTGATACGGGACTGAGGAACTAATATCCCACAGGAATAAACGGAATATATTTTATAGAAGATTTTATTTTTACAAGTTATTTCAATTCAAAAACACGTAAATACGGATTGTGCAGAATTACGATCCAATAAGTATTAAGACTAAGAAAGAAGGAGAGAACTAGGTCTGTATTTATTTCAATACAAAATAAAAGGATATACAAAAGTTTCAAGTAAAATATTGCAAAAACTCCGCAAAGTAATATAATTTAAAAAATATATATGAAGCTTATGCCTATATGTTAAAAATATGTAAAAAGGAAAATGTAACGTAAAGTTGTCGGTGAAACTGCGAGCTGCGCGGCGTATGAGGGTTGAAGGGGGTGGTAGCAGGCGCAGGGGTGGGACGACCTTCAGGGCCCGCCCCGGACGAAATTACCACGGCCTTGGGCCCGGCTTGCTGATGTATATATCTGTATATATTTGCTATGTCCTGGGTATATTTATGATATACATTTTTAGACATAGAATGAAAACTTTTGAACCTACAATTTTAAATTTACGAAAATCTAACTAAATAAGGATGTTGAGAGAAATTTGTTGGTCCCCATATTCTTTATTGAAAGCTAGTGCTTTTATGAA